AATAACTGTTAATATTGAGAAACTTTAATATTAAATTGATAATTTAAATGAAATAATATAAGTCCAATTTAAAGCACTAAATTATATTTTTCATAACAATGGGCTTTTCCATATTCAAAATTATCTTGGTGATTGAAATGTTATTATAAGGTAAATTACAAAAAGCAGTTAGTGACAAATTTTGTACCAAAAGTTAAAATAGCTTTAAAAACTAAGTAATATGCACAAGTCAAACATATGTGCTGGGATTTCTGTGATACCTTCAGGTAAAACAACTTCTTTTAATTTGACACAACCCAAGCAACTGTTATATCCAATAGACATAATATGAAGGGAATATGATTTTCGTTAGACTTCTGTTGTTGAAGAAACACCCTTCGTCCACACAGTGTATACATTTTTACGGTTGACAGGTTAAACGCATCGACGTCTTGTCGTGTTAAAACGACATTATTACACACAACACCAATTTAATAGAAGTGGTAACGACTTGTTGTAAAACTCACTTCAAAGTCGCAACGTGTGATAGACGCATTGCCTATTCATATTTCTTGAAAAGAAATACATTCAGAAAAAATGCCAAAATTCATACAAACATTCTTCTGATTGAAATAGACTGTTTTCAGTTTCTCACAATTCATAAAACAGCCATCTTCGACAAGTAACACACTTGCAAAGTTAAATGATGTCAAAGATATACTATTTTTGAATGCAACTTTGCCAATACATGTGACTGAAGTTGGTATACGTATTTCATTCAATTTATAACACCCAAAGAAAGCGCAATGTGGGATTGTCTCAAGTCCATCAAAGAGTGCAATTTCAGATTATGAGGTACGCCGTTCAAAACAGGATTTCTGAAGTATTTTGTCTGTGGAATACTAACTAGACTATCACATGAACAAAAACACTTGCTTCCAAGAATGACATTTGTGTTACAAGAAATGGATGTCAACAAAACACACCCTTCGAAACAACGCTCAGATATTTTTGTAACACTTGTTGGCAATTCAATTGTTTTCAGATTAAAACAATTAACAAAACAACAATATGAGATTTTAACCACATTTCTTGATAACACAACACTTGTGAAATTTACACAGTCTACAAACATGCGTGGATATAACTTGACATTGCCACTCATTTTCACACACTCATGTGACAAGTCGCAATTTTCACATCAGCAGAGTATTTTAAGTATCTGAGGTGGGGTTCGTTTTATGTGTCAATGGTGTGTGTAACTTGCATTTTTCCATTTGAAGCTCAACAAACCTTTCGTCTTGCCAACACAATTGTGGATCCCAGACATACCCAAACTCTTTCATGTCACCTTCTGTTAATTTAATGTTGTTAAAATTGAAACCAAGAGCTTTCAGTCGTAAATGGCATTCGTAACTCACCACAAAAATGTCTCTATCAACTCCATTGGTTTCTATTTTTGTCAACTTTTTGTTATAAGAAAACAGGTATTTGTCTGCTTTTTTCAGTGTCGAAGGAAGTGAAAGTTCTTTTAAATCAACGAGTTTAATTATATAATTGTACACAAAAGTGACTCCATTTGGAAAAACTAATTTGGTCAATGTGGTGTTTTCTGTCAACTTTTGTACTATGATATCGTCACTTTCTGTGATATTCTTTAAATCAAACGAGGTGCCATTTTCACACACAAGACTTGTCAACAAGCTACATCCACTTACAAACCCTTTCCCTATTTTGGTGACACTGCTTGGTATGACAAGTTCTTCAAGATAATTATATTCACTAAACGTGTTCTTGCCTATTTCAACAACAGTACTTGGTACTATAAATGTATTTTCAACTCCATACCAAATGCTGTGTTTTCCAATTTTGGTGATGGATGTCGGAAACACAAAGTTATGAGTTGTATCATAAGAAAAATATTTGTACATATTAATGCAACAATTCTCTGAGATTTCAACGGGGTTTTGTGCCTCATTATAAATGCTTCTCAAATTAAAGTCCACAAGTGTTGATGGGTAATACACCGTTTGGAGATAATCATTATATTGGAAAAATTCCCCATCAATTTTTTCTGCCTCATGAAAATCAAACACTTTACAATGTTCGAGGTTGTACAACACAAGTTCATCGCAATTTAAATTGGTTTTCACTTCATGTAATTTTTCGTCTGCAATTTTATCTTCTTTGTTGGTGTATTTAAAAAACATTCATCGTCAACATCTATAACAACATCAAGTGCAGTATACCCAAATTTATTAACTATTTGCTCTTCGTCTTTATTGATCGCAAATGTCAATTTACCGTTGAAATTTGGAAGTGTCAGTGCACTTAATTTAGTGCAATTGGTTAACGTATCAATACCACAAAACTTGGTGCTTTCTGGAAAATTCAGTTCTTCCAAATTGTAGCAATTATAAAATACTAATGAATCCATATACAATAGCCCTTGTGGAATTACAAATCTACGTAAAGAAGTGCAATTTCTAAAAGCGGAATTTTCGATGATTTGAAGTGATGACGGGACATCAATTTCTTCAAGTTTTTCACATTGATAAAAGGAGTAACTTCCAATAATCTTCACGGTTGTGTCCATTTTTACACTTTTTAATAACAAACAGTGGTTGCACACATTATCTGCTATGATTGATTGCCCAACAAATTCGATGTGATTCAAATTGGAGTATTCAAATGCATCAAATGAAACACAAATATTTGGTGTGACGACGATGGACTCTATTCCACAACCCCGACCAAAACATTCACAACCAAACCCAGTGATAGATGACGGTATGTCAACTTTATTTAAAGACACGCATCTGTTGAAAGTAAGCGGAGGGATGTATTTGAGTGAAGACGGAAGTGCCACATGTGTTAAATTAGTGCATCTATCAAACACGTTATCACCAAGAAATGTTACCGAGTTAGGTATGTCAATTTCTCGGATGTGTGCGTATTCAAAAGCATTATCTAAAATAACTTGGACACTATATGGGATCTTTATCACTTGTTGTTCGCAATCTTCAAAACAGTTGTTGTCGATACAATACACATTTTGAGGGATCGTGTTGCCATACTTTTCTCTGTCTGTTTTTGAGTATTTCACAAAATGACAAATATTAAAGTGTTTCTTTTCTTCCAAATATTTGTCGTAAGAAATAGGATAAGAGAATTGGAGTCGTTCGATTGTTGTGTTTGTGAGTTGAATATCGAATGGAGAAAACAAATTCAGTGTTTAATTGTTTGGGAATAATTTCATGTTGTTTGGTGTTATTTGTATTGGGTTGATTTTCTCAAGTATCAATATCAGTATTGATACTTTTTGGACACACAAACAACATTAATAAAGTCGGTGGAATTTACCAAGTATTTTGTGACAATTTGCATTGAAAACACGTCAAGTCTTTTCATCCAACTTTCAAGAATTAATTATTATTTTAGTTTTAATTTTTAAATAAACCAATTAATATGAGGTCGAGTTATTTTTTATTTTATTGGAAATTAACAATTCAAGTTCAAAAAGTTCTCAAAGAAATTAAAATTAAAAAACACGACAAATAACAATTCAAACATTTAAAAACATTTTAACACAGCAATTCTTTCACACACAATTTTTTCTGAGTTTGGTTTTCCAGTGAGTGGGTTTGTGGATGTCTGTGGGACTTCGTAATAATTTTTAACGCACATGTTGAAGTTGACATCCCCGTTTGTCTCAACCCAAAAAGCAGAGAAGCAAGATAGGAGCATCCCATGAGTGTCTTGGTGAATAACAAATGTCTTCTTTTCATTCATTTTCTCCTCTTTTCGTGTGATAAAAACGGGTCCTTCCCATGGATTTGGTCTTCCAAATAACACGAAGTTGTCTGACGTCGCGTTGAGTACATTTTGGTTGCTCTGTGGACACACCAAATCGTTCTGGTAGAACCCAAAAATTTCTCCTGTTTTTGAAACAAAGAGGAATATAAGTTTCTCCTTGCCAACAATTTGAGCTTTCAATTCTCTTTGGTCCATTCCAGAGAGTCTTGAGTCAAAAATGATATTTGACTGAGTGTTACCAGTCTTTTTGATGACTTCTGTCATGAAGTCTCTTTCTCTGTTAAAAATGGTAGTTTCATAGTCTTCCAAGTCTTCTACAAATTGGCAGGTAGTTTCTTGTTTCTTGTGTGAATGAGGTGTTGTGCCCTTAGAAAAAGGTCTCAATAGTTTTGCTTTTTTGGCTCTTTTGACAAGAAAGTGGTCTGACTTTGATCTGTTGTAGGTTTTGCCCTTTATTTCAAGAGACGGAGAGAGTTGTGTTTCTGGTTCAATAGAGTCTGGAGTCATTGTGTCGACTTTATAAAACATTTGTTGTGGTGACAAATCATAGTCTTTGACGTGTCTTCTGTGCATTTTGGGTATTGGTGTTGAACGAGCTGACGATGTGGTTGAGGTGTTTCCCATTGAATTTTGGAATACGAGTGGACACTCTGCCTTTTAAGCTATATAAAAATGCAGCAAAAATGGGCTTTTAAAATTATTTTGAAAACACCACTTTTGGTGAAGTAATTTAATAACAAAAACACCAGAAATCGCAATAGATTGGGCAATCCAAACGATTGATAAAAATACAGGACGTTTTTATATTTTTGAAATTTTTTTAAAGTTTGGAAGTTTTGTTTTATTAATAGATTAACACGCTTTTACAATTGTATCACTTTTCACATTATTTCTTTGTTTTAAAAATTTTTAAAGGATTGGTCCCGAAATGTAACTGGTTGTTGAAACTAATAATTTGGTCAACAATAATTCAGCGAATCAAAACCAAATCATTATTATTGAGGGTTACCAATTTCCCGATTTTAATGAAAAATAACATGGAAAATCAACCCAAACAATTACGAATTTAATGTTCTTCGAGTTTGTAATTTATCAAATTGCGAGTCAAATTCACAAATTTTCAATCGAAAAATCTTTCTGCTTTTTGTGGTTTTAGTGGAATTATAACTTCTTTATTATAATTTATACTAAAAAGATTATTAATTTATATTAGAAATATGATACTCATTTTGAAAAATAACAATTAAAAAAATACTATTAAAGTATAATTAATTATAATAAAAATAAACCAATTGATTATTGACGAAAATCCGTTTACATTCTTGTTTATAAAAAACAAAAAACAAAAAACAAAAAACAAAAAACAAAAAACAAAAAACAAAAAACAAAAAACAAAAAACAAAAAACAAAAAACAAAAAACAAAAAACAAAAAACAAAAAACAAAAAACAAAAAACAAAAAACAAAAAACAAAAAACAAAAAACAAAAAACAAAAAACAAAAAACAAAAAACAAAAAACAAAAAACAAAAAACAAAAAACAAAAAACAAAAAACAAAAAACAAAAAACAAAAAACAAAAAACAAAAAACAAATTTTTATAACTTTTTAAAAGTAATCAAATAAAATTGAGGATTAGTGTCACATAATACGGGATTTTAGTTTAAATAATTATTATTTGTTACAAGAACAAAACAAATAATTTAATAATCATAAATGTATAACGTTTCGTATATACATGTTTGTGATAAAAATGAAGAAAAGTCGTGTTTTGTGAATTTAGCATTTAAAACGTGCCAAAACAATCAAGTAAAACGAAGAATTGTGGCTTTAATGTAATAGAAACTCTAGTAATCCAATTCAATCTTTATAGTTCTGATGTGGCGGCACGTAGATCTGAATGCCAATTTGTAAATATACTTGTCGTATTTTTAAAGAAATGAAGATTGTTCAAGAATCAAATTTACAATACAAAAAACAATAAGTATTCAAGATTTATGTTTTAATATAATAAACTTGTATTTTAATAATACAAGTTATTATAATAATAATATTATACAGAGTTTAAAGCTATTTAACATTGTTTTTTAAAACAAAAGTCGTTATAAATACATATCAATAATTATACATTTCTAATTTACGAGAACAATTACAATTGATACCCAAATGTCATCTTTTATCTCAAATAAGATAATAAAACTTATTATTAAATACAAATACAAAAAAATCAGTCAGTATAATCGATGTTCATATGTTTTGGAATACTTGGGTCTGAAGTCCTTAATCATACCATCGGTTTCAAAAGTGTTAAACGTACATTTCAAATATCAAAGATCAATGGAATTTCCCTTTTGAAATAGCAATTATACTAATTTGTGATATATTAAAAATCATTTAAATTTAAATTGTATTCTAAAACACAATTTTTAATTTCAAATAATTGTTGTGATAACAAATCACTTTTAAAATTGAAGCATTTTTTAAACTACAATAATTATCGAGTCAACAGCAACCAAATTGTCTATACATTAATTCATTGCTTTGTTATTAAAATTACTATAAATGCAACTTAGTCACATCCATCTTATTTTTTGCCTCATTCATTTTCAATTATTTTTTAAGTAAAATGATTATAATTTCCATTTGAAAAATAACGTGATAAGTTGATAATCAAAATAATGTTAAGATACTCAAAAATTATAACAGCTTAACAATTTAACCATTTAGTCTCCATCCTACACAAATTCGAAAGTTGACAACTTTTTTCACGAATTGGGTGTGCATTTGCAAAGCTTTTAGTCAATCAACAAACGAATACTTTGCTTTATTTTTAAAATTAAAATGAAGTATTCAAACTAAAACCAATTATAATGTAAAGTGATTATAATAAAAGGGATATAAAAAATACCCCTGGGGCTAGAACAACCAACACTACAGTTAAAAGAGGGCGCTTTTCTGACCGAACTAGGAAGGCTTATTAATTATTTTTATTAAACATCTAATTACACTCTTGGCCAAACAAATTTTAAATGTTTTAAAATTGATGTTTCTAGTGTTGGAATTTCATAAAAAAATTGTCAATTTAATGGTTAACAAATATTTATTTGTTGTTTATTTAACAAAATACCAAAAAAACTCAAAATATTTTTTGCATTTTTTATCTTTACAAAAAAATAAAAATGTTATAAATCAACATATTATTTAAATTGATATCTAAATGATAAATTTTACTGCTTGTATTTATAATAAGCATAAAAAAACAGACTTCCAAATGTCATACAAAAATGTTTGTTTTTTGATTGTGATGGAACAGATGTTAAACATCTTGTTTATTACATGTCAATAACGAGACAAGCCTTTTAGTGTGATCCAAATACCTTCTCACTGCAAAAATTTCGTAAAAAAAGACAATTCAATGGTGCGACCAAAAATAATTAATTGAAAAGAAATTTGCAACTATAGTTATAGTTTTGTTTATTGTACTTTTATAAGAGTATTAGTTTTAAAAAATGTTGTGTTTTTCAGTTTTGTTTCATAAAAACAAATAATTGATTTATTATAGTTGTACTATAAACAAAGTTGCACCGACACGTCATAATTGCATAATTTTACAAATAGCTTCAAATAGTTTTATAAAACAATTGCTTGTTATTTTTCGGTGTTGAAAACTTTTTAAAAATACAATTTATTAATATGTTCTATATTTTTTCAAATTGTTAGCTTGTGTTTTAACCATTTTGTTTATAATTATTCCATAAAATTACGAATTTCTATTTTACGCCACCATTTTAACCAAAATCGTGTATTTGCCGTCTAATTTTAGTAAATCACAATAAATAACAGTTTGTGTCACACATCATTGACCATTAGTATCCATACTAAAAAAACTGATATTTTAATAACCAAAAATTTACAACAAATTAAAAGAAAGTTAATAAAACTAAATCACAAAAAGATTTCATGTTTCATTTTTAAATGTTTTGTTATATTTAGTCTCCACACGTTTGGAATAACCAATAAAATAATAAATGTAAAAATAAGCTTAAATACATTGCCTAATTTTCTGTTTACAATAATTATAATCAATATGTTAAATAAATTAATAAAAAAAGTCCAATTCAAATAGGTGAAATTGGTCAACAAAAATTCAAAAACCGATTCCAACACGTCTTTTATTAATAATTTTAAAAACATTTAATTGTTAAAACAAAACAACAACCGCTTTTGACCAACAACCCATTTAAATATAACACTTGAAGAATCCTCTAAATGAATCATTTAGACTTTCTTTGTCATTTTTAATGGCAATTTTGGTGTTTGTGTTGTTGGCAACGAAATGTGTGTTTTCAAAGGACATCCACATCGTTTTCACTGCCTCAACCATACCGAAACGTTATAATTACATTCAGATAATGATAGACTATTTTATTCACGCTTACAATCATGACCACATCAATTTTACCGTTGATTTTATGTTTGTCAAGGGGTGTCAAAAGGTGTGTGATTACCCATCATTTGACAAGCAAATATCAAGGTTGATTCAATATGGTATCAAAGTGTATAACGTCTCTTTGGATTCTATACCATTAAACAAAGTGGAAGATCCAGGAATGACTAAGTACCAAGACAAATTTGAGAGTTGGATCATAGACTACAGAAAAGATATTGTGAACGAAAGAAACGGCACTGTATACTCATGGTTTGTGAAAGACAACACCATTAATCATTATGCATTCACACTTGCACGATATGCAATGCAGACAACAAATGCAGACTTTTTGATGTTTCTGGAAGACGATATAGTGGTCCAAAAAAACTTTTTTACTATCATTCGAAATACCATTAGAGATTATAAAGAAGGACAATACGTTGCGATCAAAACGATGATAGCTGATGAAAAGAATATGAAATACAAATTTCATGACAAACAACTTGGATTTTGTATAGCAAGTTTGTTTGGGGTCATGCTTGGTAAAAAGGAGTTTAAAAAAGTTGAGAAGTTTCACAAATATATAAAGTGGGGTGTTTGTGTCGACGCCTATTCGTGCTATATGGACGACTTTCTAAATATGTCCACTGTGATGTTTAACACGGCCAAACATATTGGATACGAAAAACCTAAATCGTATTATTCAAAATTCTGGATGTGATAACCAGTTGTTTACTTATTTAAATTGTTATAAAATTATGATATCTATTTAATAAAAAAGTGTATTTTATTTAACCAACGCTTTTTTTGATTTTGTTTATTATTTTTTATTAGCTTATTTTCATTAATATACCATATGTGTATGTAATTGTATTACTTGATTAACCAAACAAATTGTTATTGATCAAATATTACGATTATCAACAAGCAATCTATTAACTAAAAAACAAATTGTTATTTATTCGTTTTGAATATTCTTAATATAAATAAAGATTGTCAAAACTGTTTTAATTAAGTTATTGATGAGTTTATTCCAAAATACTATAAGTTTTAATAATTAAGGAAAAATATCGAATTTGTTCTATAAAATTTATTTTCTTTACCCAAAAGACAATATTTAATTTAACACATTTTGTTTTTGTATTTAAAAAAAACATGTTAACGTTGTTTTTGAGTCACATATTAATATATATATATCATTAATGCAGTTTGATAGATTACAATTTTATAAATATATAACATTGTTTATATTGATATAAATCGAATTAAAGTGTTATCTAACAAGACAATTAAATACAAAAACATCAAAAATGTTTAAAAATGTAATGCCAATGAGATGTAAAAAATATCAATACTTTTGTAATTGTGTCATTATTCACGTTTTGTGATAAGAATGTTTTTTTTTCAAAAATGTACTTTATAGATAAGAGTAGATATTAACAATCATATCATATTTATCAAAGTGTTGATTCAAAGTGTTCTAATGACAGAGAAATTAAAAACAACATATTTATATTATTTTTATATTATCTTATAATATTCATTAAATTTTAATTATTAAACGTATTAAAATTTCATTGTTTAATATTAGCAAATTTAATAATTAAAAAACATTTTTGTTGTTTTAGAATTGTTTTAGTGAAATCACTGATAGAAAAAAAAGGCAAAACACTAAAAATGTATTTGGATATAAAATATCGGATTCACGATATTTAAACATATTAATGTTCAACTTTAGTTTACTCCGTTTTCTTGGTCTTTTACTGTGGAATTTGATTATAAAACCAAAATCCAATAAATAAGACCGACTCAACTTCTGGAAATTATTTATCTCAGATGAGCGAGCACAATGGCGTTTAATTTATTATGGGTTTCATTTCAGTATATGGTTTAATAACCAATCTTATATAGATTATATTGACATACCTGAAATAATGCTCTGATTGCGCATTAATTCGAAACAATTTACAAAAATTACATAATTGAATTACAGTATTTTAATTATATTTTATTTAAAAAGTAACGTTTAGTTTTCAATAATTATCGAATAAGTATACAATTATTGCAAAAAATACGAATTACTTTACGAATAATAAAGCAAATGTTTTAAATCTTATTATCTTTAATTTAGATTATTGGTTGTTTTTTGTTTTTAATAACTTTTTATGATGTTATTAAACAATGATATTATTTTATATTTTATTATCAATTTTAATAGTAATTGTAATAAATTTATAATAAATTAATTATAATATTTATAAAATTTGATTACATAAATAACTAAACAGTGATAATAATTAACTAAACACTTTAAATAACACTGAACCAATAATAAATGGTCATTAAAAAGGGCAATCACGAGTTCATTGTTTGTCTTTGTTGTTTTTTATTGTTTAATATGTATATATCATCAAACAAGTCAAAAAGAAAAATATTTAAAATAGTTATAGAATAATGTAAAAACAGGTCAATAATATAACAAAAATGTTATTTCATGTGTTAGTCTGTTTATTATTATAGTTTATTATCAATTTTAACTGGTAAGAATGAAACTGGTTGAATTTTGATTATCGAGTTACAACAGAAATTATAATAAAAATTATAAAAACATGGTTTTGATTTTTACAACTGTTTTTATTGTTTATATGACGTGTTTTTAGTCACTATATATTATTAAGTTTTTTTTGTTCAATCATATACGCGTTTACATGATATTGTTTTAATACTGATATTCTGATTAAGTTATAAAAACTCGTTTTTGTTGTATTGATATAAAAAAGTGCAATTATTCGTTATTACTATCTCTATGAGTTTTATATTAAATTGATAAAAATGAGTAGACTTAATCTTTTTTTGTTTTTTATATTACAATTTATTTTTAATAACAATAATACACAACCAATTGTTTGATGAAAATTGTACATAACATATATTATCAAATATACAATCATATCACAGTTATTATAACAAACAACATTTTGATTGTTTTAATTGTTAAATTAGTTCAAATTCAAATATATTTTTAAACAACACGACGATGTGATATAATAAATTTGTCAATACAAACAAAAAACAAAACAATACAAATTATTTATTGGTTTTACTTTTCAAAAACAGTTTTGTCGTTGTATTTATTTTCAAACCACCTGTGGATGTACCTCATTTCCTTTTCGAAATTCTTTTCATTCATCTCGTCGTTCACACCAATTGCATATGGTTGTGTTTCGTTTGCAATTATTTTCTGCATGACGTTCCACGTGTGGTCATCTCTCATAGAAAGGAATGTGGATTTGTTATCTTGTTCGACATTGACCAAGTCCTTTTGACAAGACATAGTTGCCATACAAGAACGACCAATTTGTGCTGTCCCACCTTCTGAATTTGGTTTTTCTTTGTTTGTTAGTTTCACTTAGAAACGCCACTTCGACTTCTTTTAATATGCTTTTTCTGAACAAGTGTGGGGTGTGTGACATGACCATATTCGAGTGGTTTGGATCTTTTTCGAAATACGTGTTGATGAGACTGTTCGAATGGAACATGCAACTCCAAAATTGGTTATTTGCAAAAGGTTTGCTATCGACGGGCATTTTCTGTTCTGTGTGTATCACAAGTTTGTCTTCTTTGGCATAGAAAGTAGGTGGTGTTGGTCGATAGAAGAAAAAGTCGTCTCCCAGAAAGACAAAGCACTCGGACAAGTTTGGGATTTTGAACAATACGTTTCGATTGCTTCTGAATTGAATGTTGGCAGAATTGCATCACTGATTAAATCACTGTGTGGTATCACCTCGAGTGTCATGTCGTTTTTGGTGATCCTGAAATGCGTCAAATTACAGGGCGACTCAATAAAGTCAGGGACTTGGTCGGCGGTAACCAAAAAGTGGTTTTTGATGTATGGCAAGTACTTTGAAACACTTCTCACCGAGTATTTCAGAACTCTTGAATCGCGATATCTTGTGAAGTCGATAGTGTGCGCATATCGATTTAAATTGGAACACCATGTCGGGTCACTGCCATTCACCCATATCCACACAGCATCGATGCGGCCATTGCACATCTCTGGGATGTCATCCATCTTTTGCAAGTCAATTTCAGTCTGATTTGTTGGGAACTTGTTGCAATATTTGCACTTTGAAAGTGCTTTTTTGAACATCTTTTTCTCGTCAATTAAATCTTGTGCGCCTTCTGTTGTAAACATGAAAGGATCTAAATTGTCATGTTGTGTTGAGTGTTTGTCAGGAAAGTTCTTGGTGTATTCTTTGAGTTGTTCTTCGGTAAACGTGGGAACTGAGTCGGGGTCATAGCGCGGCTGTTCCATGAGAGTTTCCTCATCTTTAAATGCGATTTTTACCATATTCATTTCATAATCAAAATGCTCGTTTGAAACGGAGTATCTCAGTCTTTTATTTCGTTTCTCACTCACAGACAATATGGCCAGTAAAATAAAACACAGAACCGAAAGAAATAAACATAAATTGAAAAGTTGAAAACGGTTAATCATGTGTATGAATTCGAGTTTGTAAATATTCAAATAATGTTTTGTTCAGTATGTGTAGTTTTTTGTACAAAATAATACTAATATTATTTGAATTATTTTTAAAATCGACTTTTTTCTATTTAAAAAATACTAAAATAAATAATAAATTATAGAAAATTTAATATTTTTTACAATTTTTGTAATTCGCTAAATTTGATGATTTAAATTGTATCTAATAATTATAATTATTAAATTATTTAATTTATATTTTTTCAATTTTAATAGTATTTTTAAATAGTTTTTTATTGTTATAATTAAACTATATTATAATATCATGATAAAAAAAGTAAACCAAATTAAACCATATAAGTCTGGTTTAATTTATAAAATAAAGGCATGATTTATTATTTTGTTTCCTTTTTATAGTTTTCTGGGTAGATAATCTTTTTCAAATTGTCACACCCTTCAAAAGCCTTTTTCTCGTTGACACTTTTCAAACTTTCAGGTAGAGTAATTTCTTTCAACGATTTGCAATTTCTAAAAGCCCATTTATCTATTTGAAATACTTTATTTCCCAATTTCACATTTTCAAGATTTATACACCCATCAAAGCATCTGAATGTAACGAATGGATATGAATATGCAACCTCTTTGAGACTTACACAAACACCAAACACAAGATTTCCAATCAAATTCATGTGTTCATTTAACACAAGTTTATCGAGTTTTTCGCAATTTTGGAAACACCTATTCCCAACAAGTCCAAGTTGTTCTGGGAAGACGACTTCTTTCAAACTTTTGCAGTTAGCAAAGACCGATTCTTCAAGCTGTCCCAATTTGTTTGGAAATACAACACCTTCAAGTTTTTCACAATTCTCAAAAGCGCGTTTTTTAATAAGCTCGACGTTTTCTGGAATCACAATTTTGGTGAGGTTTTTGCACCCACTAAAAACAGATTTCTTGATGATGCACAAACTGTTTGGAAGGACAATTTCCTTGAGACTGACACACCCAGCAAATGCCTCGTTATTCAAAATATCAACATTTTTGGAAAGAACAACTTTACTCAATTTAGTGCAGTTCTTAAAGCACTTTCCTCCCACATAATTGATGGTGTCTGGCATGACCACTTTTTCTAATTTGTCGTTGTTTTCAAATGCGCCGTCTTCTATTGCAACAATTGTAGCGGAAATGACAGCAACAGTCCCAGTAAATTGATTCACTTTTTCAATAACATTGAATTTCACAAGATTTGGACAATCAAGAAACACATCTCTTCCACACACCAACGATTTGTCAATGTCCACCTTTCTCAATTGAGTGCAATGATTGAATGAGTACCCCTCTATCGTTTTGACACTCTTTGGGATGGTGATTTCTTCAAGACTGGCATAACCACTGAAACATTCGTATCCAATCGACTCAACACTGTTTGGTATCACAACAACCTTCAGATTTGGGCATTCAGCAAAACAGCGTTGTGGAAGTGTTTTCACGCCTTCTGTAATGACAACTTTCGTTAATTTGTTGTTTTGAACAAAAGCACCTTCATCCATCTCTGAGTTTGGTATTACCAACTCTTCAATGTCACAGTCTGAAAATGCTCTGATGCCTATTTTCTTCAAGTTTTGTGGGATGCCACGTGTAAAGAGTTTTTTTGTACCTTTGAAAGCTTCTCGACCGACTTCTGTGACATTCTCCATGTTTTTGATTTCGCTCAAATTTCCACAACGCGAAAAGAGACCCTGTGGAATAGCAGTAATGCCGGTAGGAAGTGTGACACTTCTCAATTTCTCACAATCTTGACAAACAAACATACCAAACTCAACAACCGAATCTGGAATGACAAGCGTTTCAAGTGATTTGCATTCATTGAACGCAAATTCGCCGATTGAAGTGACAGTAGTTGGTATTTCTATTCTTGAGATGTTAACACACCCATAGACAATACGGTCTGGAATTCGTGTGAATTTCTGATCCCAAACCAGTTCAGTGATATTGACGTTGTCTGAAAAGACATGTTCCCCAAATTCCTTCAAATTCTTTGGGAAAAAGACTTTGTCAAATCCACAATGATCAAACGCAAAATTATCTATTTTGGTAACACTGTCTGGAAGTGTCACTTTTGAGAGATTTTTACAATTAATAAACATATTCTTTGATATTTCTTTGATGTTTCCTTCGATTAAGAACTTCCTTGAATTTGCAGTTCTCAAAAGCACCATCTTCAACAACTTCAATGTGCTTGTGTATTTTAAACACGTTGTCACCATCAAGTGGACAATTCTCAAAACAGCTCTCCCCAAGTTTAGTCACACTCATCGGAATAACAACACTTTTCAAACTTCGGTCGTCTTTGAATGCATTTTTTGGGAGTTCAGTTAATTTGTTCGACAGTCTGATGTGAACCAATTTGTCAAGTCCACTGAAAGCATCCGACCCAATTGTAGTCACGTTGTCAGATAACTCAATTGAAGTGAACGCATTCAAGTCAAGGCTTTTGGGGTTATCAGATATTTCCAGTGAAGAAACCGTATTGGAATACAGTACACTTGACCCAAGACTTTGAATGTTATCAGGAACCGTGAACGAAACAAGTTTGTTTCCACAAAACACGCCATCGGATAACGAAGTCATGTTTTTGGAAATTACAATGGAAGTCAGCGGACATTGGTTGAAAGCGTATTCGCCAATTGAGGTCACCGATTCTGGAATAACAATACTTTTTAAATTTGTGCAAAAACTGAAAGCATATTTTTCAATTGATTGGATATGACTTGGAATTGTAAATGAATCAAACGTGTGGTATTTGAATTCACTCTCTTTGATTGTTTTTGCTTCTGGAGCAACAAAAGTGGATGTTAAATCAACACCGTCATTTGCGTTATTTGCTTGATTACCTTCTGATGAATGTGTAAACATGGTCAAAAATAATTGTGCTGCCTCGTCATCACCTTCAGTGTCTTCTGAGCTGTGCATCTGTTCTTCTGGTGTCGCATCATCTATTTTTTCGGTAGCATCGGTGTTGCAATTTGTGTCCATTATGATGTTTGTGGTAACTAATAATTCATTTTAATATATAAAACATGTTGTGATAAATGATTGGTCTGTAATTACACATTTATTGTTAAACTACACAACAACTCATATAAACTCTATAATTGTGTATAAATTTCAATTTTATTTGTATATCAATCATCTTGTTTTCGTTTGTATTGATTGAATTAAAATCGATTATTTTTAATAAAATCAAAATATCAAAAGTGTAATTATTTCCGAGTTTAATAAATAAACAACACGTGTTATTTATTCAATATTACACACATCGTTATTAATTAAAATATAAAAAAACAAAAACATAAAATAACATTTAAAATAAAATGTTGTTTTTTAAACTAAGAAAACAAATTATCATAAAAACGTGTATGTTATTAAAAACACTTTAAAAAACAAAATCAATATTTCACAAATTTAAAAATCTATTTTGAAAGTAAAATTTTCAATATCTTGTAAGATAACAATTTCATGTAAAAATCTATTCGATAAAAGATAATAAAAAATACTAAATAATAATAGATGGGTTACTAATACATCAATAAATAATTAAATCAAAAATGATATTTACTTGTTTGTTTTTTGTTGTTGATTATTTTAAGTAAGTGAATTTGTAATAGTAAATTGTAATTATTCATATATAAAAACGATGTTTTTATAGTTAAAAATAATCAAATATTAGATAAAAATTGAATTACAGTCAAAGGTGTCTATTTGTTCAGAATAAGTGAATTTTGTTGTAAGTTATTTTGAATATTAATAATTATTATTTATAAAAAAGGTTTTTAATTCAACAAAAGTTACAAATTTGAGAACAGAATATTTCATTGTCATACATCGAGTAATCGGCGGTTGTGTGACAAATAAGCAATTTCTATAATTAAAATTACGACATATAGACGCCTTTGACTGTAATGTTTATTCTTTTAGAATACTTTTTTGAAATGTAAATTATACAATGAAGAAATAGTAAACTTTATTGTGGCTTTTTAGTCAATGATAATAAATTTAGATAAAACAAAAAAAATCAAAAATGTCAATTCCACAAACAAGTAAAAAACAGGGTTTTTTAAACCAAAATGTGGTATATTAAGCAATTTTTCAAAATGCCGAAATAACATTATTTCGCTTTTTTATTCTTCAAAAGTTCGAGTTCTAAACCAATTTTGTGTTATTTAACTGGTTTTTTGTGTGTTATTGTAAAAAATGGACAATATTTGATCACTAACTTTAATTCAAAAATCAGAAAATTAACGACTTTATATTATTAGATATATTAATTGTATATTTACACAAATTAAAACTAAATCTTGAAATCATAACATGGCAACACTTGACAGTTTTCACATCATGATAGTTTCAAAGTATTTTGCAACAATCAAAGACTTTATCAATTTGGAGATGGTTTGCAAGAAGTACAATGGAAACACAAAAAAGTTCCATTTCAACCCAATTCCATTGACACACAAAACAAATATGTTATTCCCAAACATCGAGACACTTCATCTGTGGTCTGAAAAAGACGAAAATTTTGGCAATGAAATTCTTGCCAACACCCAAAACAACACAAAAGGCAAAATTGTTGCAGAGAAAAATTATTATGAAATAGTAGTGTGGTTTAGTGTTGATTATGAAACAGTTGACAAAAACAATGGAAAAAACATCAAGTTCAAAAATGTCACATACACTTCCAACAACATAAATAAATATGGCAATACCATCCCTACCTGCGTTAGGTCACTTGATGACTGTTGTTATTATGACTGTAATAGCATCAACAACGTCAATATACCATCAAACGTTAAATCGATTGGTTATGATTGTTTCTGTAAATGTAGCAATTTGAGCCACATTATAATACCGCCAAGTGTCACTTTAATTGGTGATTTCTGTTTTGGAAGATGTTATAATTTGGATAGCATTGATATCCCATCAAGTATCTCAAAATTGAGTGATCGCTGTTTTTTCGAATGCAGTTCTTTAAGCCGTGTAAATATAGCACCAAGTGTGACATCAATTGGGTACAACTGTTTCTCTGGATGCAGCAGTCTCATCGAGGTAGAAATACCATCAAGTGTCACATCAATTGATGTAAGTTGTTTTTATCAGTGTGTCAATCTAAGCAAATTGGTAATACCATCAACTGTCGTGAGAATTTACAATTATTGTTTTTTCAGATGTTACAATCTGAGCAGTTTGGTGATCCCGTCAAGTGTGACTGTAATAGACAACTACTGTTTCAGCGAATGTGTAAAACTGAGAGATGTGAAAATGTCATCAAATTTATTATCACTTGGAAATTATTGTTTCAGTGGATGTAGTAATTTGAGTGTAATAGAAATACCACAAAGTGTTACATCAGTTGGGCAGTATTGTTTTGATAATTGTAGTAATTTAAGAAATGTAGCGGTGCCATCGAGTGTTACATCAATTGGCATTTATTGTTTTAACCAATGCATTGCTCTAAGCAGTGTGATATTGAAGGCAAATGTCAAGTTGCTTGGTGATAATTGTTTTTGTGAATGTCGCAGTCTTAGCAATCTGGATATACCTTCAAGTCTTGAATCACTTGGTATTTATTGTTTTAATAGATGTTCGAGCTTAAACGATCTAATTATACCATCAAATGTAACATTGATAGGCGATTTCTGTTTTGCTGGGTGTAACAATATAACCAGTGTGTGTATATCTTCAAGTGTCATCATTATTGGCAATTATTGTTTTAGTGGATGTAAATATATAAATGACGTGGATATACCATCAAGTGTCAAATCAATTGGGGACTATGCTTTTAGTGGATGTAATAATCTGAAAATTGTGGAAATACCATCAAGTGTCACGTCTATAGGTAAAAACTGTTTTCCACCACAAACCAAAGTGATTCTACTTAAATAACTATTTCCCAATTTTAAAATATGCTTGTTTGCAAAAGATTTTAAATATAAGAATTTTAAACGTTTGGTTGATTATATATTAATTTATCATTTAAAATATTTACCTTATTAAAAATAAACATGTTTTAATTGAAATCTAAACATTTCTGATTTTATTTCTTAGTGGTGTGTTCTGAATATGCATAATAAGTTTGATTTTTTTTTATTTATTTGTGTAATTATATAGTAATCATATTATTAAAAACCGTTAAAATACATATTTAAAATTGTAAAAAATAATAAATCAATTATTTGATTCTGTTTTAAAACAGAAGCACTGTCATGCAGAGTAATACAAACAACATGGATCTACCGAAAGCAATTAAACACACAATAAGTTGCTAATCTATTTGTTTTCAAGCACCATATTCATGTTCATATTTTCACAAATAAATTGAATTAAACTTTAAATATTTGGCGTTTTCTGTTTTTAAACACACTATAAAAAATTTGAAGACTTTATATAATAACATTTACACCGATACCATAGATAAACAAATTATACTAATAGTTGATAACTTCAGTTCACTAAATTTATTTGTCAATAAAAGTACATTATCAGGGTCTGTTTTACAACTTAAACACGTGTTTGTTTTTTAAAAATTTCAAGTAAATGCGACATCAATTTATTAAATAAAAAAGTGTTGACATAACAAAAAAACATCAGTCTATTTTTGTGAACTTACAATGGTTATACAA